ATTACATGGTGGTATGAAAGAAAGATGACCTATAGAAGGAAATGTTCCATTTTGAAGAATTTATTGAAACTATAGTGGTCCGAGGACAGAATCACTAGAGTATAGGAGATTCTCAAAGTAAAAAATAGCCACAGAAAACAGAAAATCCAGAGTGCTAACAGTAAAATATAATGCAAAGGTAAACACCAAATGATAGATATGATAGATTGTAAAAGTCCTTGCTAAAACTCTAAAAAGCTGGACTCTTGTGGTGTGCACTTGTCAGGCCAAGCTACTTGGAAGGCAAAATCGGGAGGATCATGGTTCAAGGCCAGCCTGAACAAAAAAGTTCCTGAGACTCAATCTTAACAGAAAACAGCTGGACGTGGTGGCATGCACTTGTCATCCCAGTGATAGCAGGCAACACAAAACAGGAAGATCATGGTCCATGTTGGCCTAAGCAAAAATGAGACCCTATCTCCAAAATAACCAGGGCAAAAAGGGCTGGAGACATGGCTAAAGTGGTAGAGGCCTGCCTAGTGCATGCAAAGCCTTGACTACAAATCCCAGTACTGCAAAAAAAAAAAAAAACCCCAAAAAACAAAACAAAACAAAAAACTTGTGAAAGACCTCATAGCTTCTCCTGGTGAAACAAATCTTGTATCATATTTTCTATAGCTTGTTTATACATGATGCATTTCTACATAATGAAATAAATACATTTTTACATAATTAGGATCACACTTCATATAAAGATTATATAATATTTCATTGTCAACCAATAATTATCAAGAATTTGATTTGAAGATAATGGCTTACAGAGCACATTTGTGTTTATAGGTTTCCTAAAATATGTAAACTATCGCTTCATTCTCCCAAATTAACAAAGATTTGTTATAGAACCAAGCAATAAAAGGCCACACAAAACAGTTTTTCACAAACATGCTGTCATTTCACTTGTGTATATGTAGGCTATGTGAAGCATTTGAAAAAGACACTGAAACTTACGACTGTCTTAGGAAATTAGGCCACACACACACGATATTCAATTAAGAGGATGCTATTGACAGATTTCTTCTTTCTAATTTTGGCACTAAAAATTTACATTTCTTTTAGATAAATCATTATTTCTATATCTTGGATAGGCTTCACTATGTAGCTATTAATCTGGTTTTCTTCTTCAAAGTTTCATGTAAGATGTGTGGCCCTATGCAAGGTATATTTGCAGTCTTCAAATTCGTCATTTGACGCTACTTTTGAATTCATTTCTTTATCTCCACCTTTAATTTTTTCTATGAGGGAATTTTATTTATTTATTTAATTCTTGTTTTTGTAGTACTGGGGTTTGAACTCAGGGCCTACACCTTGAGCCATTCCACCAGCCCTTTTCTGTGATAGGTTTTTTCAAGATAGGGTCTCACAAACTGCCCAGGCTGGCAGTTTGATCTCTGCTTCCTGAGTAGCTAGGATTACAGGCATAAGCCACCAGTGCCTGGCTCTCAGAGGGAATTTATAAATTCTTATGAACTGTAATACTTTCATAAAAAGGCAAGATTTTAATTAATTATTTGATCTTATTTTCCCATTTATCATTATGTTTAGAATTGGATCTTAAATGTCTCTCAAAGACCCACATGTTAAAAATCTTAGTCCTTAGCTTGGTGCTATTGAGAGGTGGTGGAAACTTTAAAGGTGGAACCTTGCAGAAGGTCTTTGGGGGCATGACCTTGAAGGAGAGAGTGTGATTCTAGTTCCTTCCTCTTCCCTGAGTGTCAACATACTTCCTCAGTACAGCCCCAAAAAGCAATTGGGCCAACCCATAAACTACCCACTGAAGCTTCCCAAACTGTGAGCCAAAGTAAACTTTTTCTCTCTTTAAGTTGCTTATCTCAGAATATATGTATTCTTACAGTTACAGAAAGCTAGAACACTATAATGGTCATTTTTCTAAAACTTTAAGAACTAAGTAATATTTTATTATATGAATTCACCACCATTAATCAACCATATTCACTGTCAGAGATAAATAGGTTTATTATTACCAAAATTGCAGAAAAGAGTGAAGTTAAGAAAAAAAAGAAAAATCTTTAGATTATTAAAGAAGCTTCTATGGTGGGAAAAAAAAGCTGATCTCTGTGACACGGAAGGACTTCAGTGGCCAAGCTGCCTAAATATTGCAAGTAGTCCTGAGGGATGAAGCTGTGTTTACACCCAGATGAAAATCGGGCTTATTTCAACTTACAATGAAAGTGACAGTTTGGGCAGCTCAGGCTCCTCTTCTATTGTACAATCTACCCTGTGCATGCATGCATTTGCAATGGATTTTCTTTTGGCTCTTAGAACTTGGAAGACCTGACAAACTGAAACCAGCCAACATGAAGTTTCAGCTATGCTTAAGCAATACATAATAAGGTATTTGGTGTTTTTAAAAAATACTATTGATATCATTATACATATTACAATGTGATTTAAGTTTAAAATATGATAATATCAAATTTTGAGAAAGATGCACAGAAGTGGACCCTTCCATGTTTTCTGATTGGAATACAAAATGGCACAACTTTTCATATAAAGTTAAATATATATTTAATGTATAATTCAGCAATCCTGTTCCTAAAAACATATGTTTACCTCCTCCCGCCACAAAAAAGAAACAAACCTAGACAATGTATTTGGAGGCCATTCACAAAATGACCAATGCAAATATGAAGATTTTCTAAGCTCACTAGGAATCAGTGAAAAAAATGAAAATCAAATTAAAACAATGGTGATATCTCACTTTAGGCTTATCAAGTCAACTAACTTCAAAAGTCTGAAAGTATCAATTGCTGGTGAAAATAAGGCAAAGTGAGATTCTTCTATTGTTCACAGAGATGTGAATTAGTTCAATTACTTGGGAGAGTAATTTGCCAATGCCTAGTATACTCAAAGATGTTATTATCATTCTATCAGTTTAGGCATCCACCATAAAAAAGTCTTTTATGTGCATTTGCCAGAAATGGTATAAAGGATATTTGCTGCAAGACTGCCACAATAGTAAAAATTATAAAAGTAATTAGCGTATTACAGGCAACTAGTTTAAGTAACTGAGTAATTCATAAGCAGAATGCTATATAAGCAGTAAAATGGATGAACAGGAAGTTTCTGTGTCAATATGGATGCATATAAAAACCTTTATAATAAAAGAGAGATGCCAATTGTGAAAGAAAAGTGTAATAAACATCTTTTTACTTAAGTTTTTCTTCACATATCTGATTTTTTTTCTAGGAATGGAATTTTCTGTTTAGAGGTCTTGAAATAAATTAACAAATAATTTTCAAAAAACTGGAAGAACTTGCACTTTCACCATCAGGGTCTACTTTAACACGTGATAAGGATGATAATTGTTCAGGACTTTATTACTAAGACGTGGTAAAGAAGTATTAAAGGATTTAATGAATATTTCTTGGGTTATTACTGAGCATCCATGATCTCAGTGATGCTTTCTTTGTCCCATGTTTTCAAGAATCTTCTTGCTTCTCTGTTCTATGGAGTTGGATCTACTTATGCGCTAATTCTACACTTTCAAAGATAAAGAATAAATAGTAGCTGCTATGGTCTGAAACCTAAGCATATTAGGAGGTGGGACTTTGGGGAGGTAATTAGATGGTGAAGGCAGTCTCTGGGAATGCAATTAGTGTCAATAAAAGCAATCCCAGAGAGCTGCCTTATCCTTTCCGCCCTCTTAAGATATAAAGAGAAGGTGCCACCTATGAGACATGAGTACTTTACCAGATACATAATTTACTGGTCTCATGATCTTGGACTTTCTAGCTTCTAGAACTGTGAGAAATAAATTTCTGATGCTTATTGTGACCCACCCACTTTAGGGTATTGTCTTACAGCAGCCTGAATGGGCTAAGATGGTAGGCAATTTTCAATTTTTAAGAATCGAGATTGTCATTTTTCTACAAAGTTCAAAATTGAGACTCTTTATTATAATCTAAAAATAAAACATACTCATATGAATGTATAATCCACAACAATATTTACAACAATGTAAAAGTCATAAATAAATATCCAGCAATATTGAAAGGGTTATGAATAACACACCTGTAGAGTGAAATGTTGGCTGTTAAAAATGATGCTTATGGAAGTTGCTACTGAAGAGGTGTTAAGTTAAAATAGAGTAGAATAAAAAGGAATTTTTCAACTTCCTTTTTTTGAGAGGGCAGTACTGGGGTTTGAACTCAGGGCCCTATGCTTGCTAGGCAGGCATTCTACCACTTCAGCCACTCTACCAGTCGTTCAACTTACAATATGGAAAAATTTCTGCTACACAAGATTTAATAATATTAGGGAAAAAAAGATGATTTTCTCTACCAATTTTTTTGAAAAAGGGATAATTCACAAATATTAATAGTGTCTGACTTTCTGAACTGATGGAGTTAAGTATGCTTTATATGTTCTTCTCTAAAACTTCCATTATTTTTCCACTTCACCATGCTGTATTTTGTGTTTCCTTATAAATCTACTCTGGATTAAGGGTGAGCTATATGTTTAAATATATAATGTTTTTATTATTATTAAATAGTTACTTTTAATGACATTGCCAACATTCCAATCTCTACATATCAATTTTTTTACTATCCCTTAACTGAAATAATTACAAAAAAGCAACAAGCATTAGAAGACTATTATTTTACAAGTTCACTTTTTCCAATGCAAATGTTTAATTTAGTTTAAGACCAAAAGAAAATAACAAGTAATAATGATTTAAGGTAGACAAAAAAACATGCCAGAGATGATACCTTAGTATCATATATTTGTGCTTTAATTTAATAAAATAGTAACAGTTATCATTAATAACTACTAATGCTATTAAGTTACTTAGAAAAAGAATCAAAACTGTTTTTGGCCAGATAATTCATCTTCTAAACTTCCACCACAAAACCCAAACTTAGGTCCTCCTAGTTTACTCCATGACTTCAGTTCAGTCTGAGTTTCTAAATGAAAGATGGCCAGTACAACCTTATCTGTACCTGTCAAATGATGGCTTCTCTCCACAGTCAAAGGCATCCTGGAGCTCCTTGACAAGATTAGCCTGGCCTGGCAGTCGAAAGAGACCCTCTTCCTTCAGCCCCCTTTGTCGGATGAAGTCCGCGCACTGCTCCACCAACATGGGAGCCAGACGGTTCCCGTATCTCTTCTCGTAACGGACAGTGTCTTCCAGTTTCTGTCCAAAAATACCTGAAGAAATAACGTGAATTTGAGATATGTAATCTCTCTTATTAGGTTATATGTCATTTTCTTTTTTTAAACTCTATGTAAAGGAAAACAAAAGTTGGAATGCTAGCAGGTATTTGACATTTGGTATTACACATTATTATATAAGCAAATTTATTATATATAATCCTTTAAATGTAAAGGGTTTACATTATGTAGCATGTTTTCCTCTGTATTTTATGTTTAGCTCAAAATGGAAACAGAAATACTGAGTTTGATATATCCACTTGGAAGTAAAAAATAAGATAATAAGATGTAACTCAAGAATTGAGTTCTCTTCCTCTTTCCTCCTACTCTGCCCTGGGTAAGAATTGAATTCAAAAGCTAAGTGTAGAAATCCCAAAGACAATAGTCAAATTTGGCTTTTTTTACAGTTTCATCTTTATATCCAATTTGCATTAATTTGTAATTAAAAGAATAAAATCAAGAAAAGCAAACTTGAATTTTCTTCCACATAAAATACTTCACACAGTATTTGCTCTTTAAAACTTTATAGTATGAGCTGATTTGAAGGGGAAAAATTAAAATAACAAGGCAATGAAGACTGAAAGTGGTGGGGTGGAGTCATGGTGGTTTGCCCCAGCAGAGGATATCTTTTTTTCTATGATTTTATTACCATATAATATTTGTATAGGGGGATATATTGTGATATTTACATATGCAATTACAATATAGCCTAGATTTATCCCCTCCATCATTTTCTTACTTCCATCTCTCCCCCTTCTTAGAATAATTTCAAGAGATTTCATTCTTCTATTTTCATATATGGGCACAAAATATAACCACCATATATAGTCTCATTCCCCCTTTCCTTGTGCTCACCCCCCTCTCACTGGTACCCACTCCAAGGAAAGATTCCTTGCTCTTCACTTTTTAAAAATTAAGTGTATTGATAGTCTAAGAGGGTTTCTATATTGGTACTTCAGGTGTTTATATATTGTGTTTTTATCAAAGTACACATTATTTATTATTTACAATAAACACTATGTGTTGAAATTTTGTAAGACTCTAAAATGTTTGTGAAATTATTTAATAACCATTAGGTTAAGGATTTGATAATAACAACAGATGATTTGAATTTCTGCTTGGAAAATAATTTATGGGTTCAGTAATGTAAAATCATCGCATTCCAAGCAATAAAAACATGCTTCCAGAGACGGTATTCTTAGCTAAGGAGGACATAATAACAAAAGCCAATTCTATACCTGCTATAAAATCTGCACTAATGAAATTCGTATATTCCTTTTAGGAAATAAGGTTGAATGGCCTAATATCAATATCCAAAACAGAATTAAAAATGGCATTTTCTAAGGGCAGTAAAGATCTCAGTAGGCAACAGGTCTATTAAGCTTTGTATGTAGATTTTAAAACAAGCAATTTCTGATAATGGGATGTCAAGCATTATTTAATACTTCAACAGCTATTCACACTCTTATTTTCTCTCAGTATCTCTATTTTAGAAGTTGGAAAATTAAATACTTCTCCCATTTTTCCAGAAGTGAGGTGGCCATCTGGCATAATGATGGCTAAGAAGTTTTGTGAAGCTTTTAGAAAAACTTACTTTTCTATGAAAAAGGAAAGACAAAAAGCTCGAATTGCCAATCACTCCTTTTTCTTGTCTTTCTTTTTATATGAGCCGAGAAGTGGGTAAAACATGGTATCCTTGATTTATGGGTATGGTGTGATGTTCTGATACATGTACACATTGTATAATGTTTAAGTAGATGATTAAGTATCTATTTGCCCAAACACCATTTCTTTATGGTAAAAACATGAAAATAATTTTCTTCTAGTTTTTTGAAATATACAATATATTATCTATCCTTCCTCAATAGCATATCAGAATTTCTTGCTCCTATCTCATTATAACTTAATACTCACTGATCACTTTCTCTCTATCCTTCCCATCTCCCTATCTTCTTTGGGTAGCCATCATTCTGGGTAGTGTCTATGAGATGAACACTTTTAGATTTCTCAGATGTGTAAGATCATGTGATACTTGTCTTTCTGTGTCTTGTTTATTTCATTTAATATAATGATTGCTATTTCCATCCATGTTGTTGTAAAGGACAGGGTTTCATTCTTTGTGGCTGAATAGTGTTCCATTGTATATATGTACTAAATTTTCTTTGTCCATTCAATCAGGCAGTTTCCATTTTTTGGCTATGTGTATAGTATTAGTACTGCAATGTACAGTAATGCACATGCCTTTTCAATATACTGATTTCACTTCCTTTGGATATGTATGCACCCAGTAGAGGGATTGGTGGATTATGTAGTGATTATATTTTTAATTTTTTTAAGGAACTTCCATATGGTTTACCATAATGACTGTACCAATTTACATTCTCACCAATACTGTACAAGGATTCCCTTTTCTCCACATCCATGCCAACACTTGTTATCTTCTGTGTTTTTGAAAAGTCATTTTTACTAGGGTGAGGTGATATCTCATTGTGGTTTTGCTTTGCATTTTGATGATTAGTGATGTTGAGCATTTTTGGATAATTGTACACTTTCTTTTGAGAAATGTCTATTTAAGTCCACTGCCTATTATTAATCAGGTTATTTTAATTACTTTTGTTTGTTGTTTTTGCTACTGAGTTTTCTGAATTCCTTATATATTCTGGATATTAACACCTTGTCAAATGTACAAATTGGAAATATTTTCTCTCATTTTGTGTTTTGTCTCTTAACTCTGTTGATTGTGTCCCTTGCTGTGCAGAAATTTTTAGTCTGACTCAATCCCATTTACCTACTTTTGCTTTTGTTTCCTGTGCTTTTGAAGTATTGTCCCCCCCAAAATGCTTGTCCACTCCAATGTCCTGAAGGGTGTCCCTTATTATTCTTCTAGTAGTGTCATAAATGAAGGTCTTAGGTTTAAGTCTTTAATTCAATTTGAGTTGATTTTGTAACTACTGATGAGAGCTCACAGCACCCATGAAATAGGTACCACCTCTATATTTTACATTTCACACATTTTACACAAGAAGAGCTCCAAGCACAAAAAAGCACGTGACTTGCCCAAGTCACACAGCTAGTAAATGGTGGAGCTAAGACTTTTCATGGCTGTGGGATTTCTGAGATGTTTTGTTTCTATTGCGCAATACTATGGACATTGGCTGAAGCAGCGATGGAGGAAAGACCTGCCACTTACAACTTTCATCCTTCTCATCACACTGGGAGTGGGACAGATTACTCTTCATGTGGATTTCTAATATTCCCAGCCCCATTTATTGAAACAATCATCCTTTCTCCAACCTGTGTTCTGTGACCTTTGTCAAAAGTCAACTGGCTACAGATGTGAGGGTTAACTTTTAGGATCTCTGTGTTGTGTTGGTTTGTGGGTCTGTTTTTATTTCAATACAATGCTATTCTGATCACTAAGGTGCTGTAGTATATTTTGAAGTCAGGTCTTTTTGCTCAAGATTGCAATGGTTGTACAATGTTTTGGGGTTTTTGTTTGTGTTTGTTTCTCTTTTTTTGTGGTTCCATACAAATTTTATGTTTTTTTTTCAGTCCCAGAAGAATGTCATTAATATCACGATAGGGATTGCATTGAATCTGTAAGTTATTTTGATTATGCTGATATTATCATTTTGATAATATTATTTCTTCCAATCCCTAATCATGGGATATCTTTCCTTTTTGTATCTACTTTAATTCCTTTCACCAATGTTTCATAGTTTTCATTGTGAAGATCTTTCAACTCTTCCAAATTTATTTCTAGATATTATATACATTATATATATATATATATATATATATATATATGTAATATAATTTGTAACTATTGTAAATTTGGAGACCTATTTCATGTATTGAAATTGGGCCCAATGTAAGTCCTTGTAATAGTCATCTTTTGACCACTGGTTTATGATCACTAGAGAAAGGGTAAAAGATCAACAGAGGTACTGGAACTGAAATAATTGTACCCAATACCAGCAGCACCTTCCTCCAGATAGTTTAAAGTGAGAAAAATAATCCCCTGTGTGCTTAAGCCCTATTAGCCATGCTTTCTGTTAATTGCAGCAACCCATTCATTAGTGATAATGATTCTGGAGATATTCTAGTGTTTAATAACAAGGTTTGAAAATTGGTGATAAATGATATTGACTCTTTTTCTAGAGTTCTTTGAAAACAAATGTGATGCTTATTTGCCTGTAATGTTTTGAAAGAAAATAGCCTTTCAAAGCATTTATAGGTCATTCAAAAAATAATGTGTTGACATTAGAGAATAGATACAATGTATTTGTGATTTTTCACTCTTGATGAATATGTAACAGTCCTCGACAAACCCAGAAGGAATATCTTTTAAATATATTCCAATTTAACTTCTATGTGGGCTACAAATTAGAACACAACTTCTAAACTTAAGTTTATACAATAATGAAAAAGTCTTTATTTTCTTGAAACTCTCAGCATTTCTTTTTTTGCCAACTACTCCAGAGATAATAAAGGAAGGGATGTGTTTTCTTCATATGTGTATTTTGTTTTTCCTTTTTTTCTTTGAACACACAGGTCTGCCTTTATGGCAAAATAAGAATTTGCCTAGAAAGTATAGCAAGAAACTTAAATTTATTTGGTATGTATTACATACTAAGTCCTTGACATATATTCATTCATTTTCATAGGAAATATATGAGGTAGTTGCCATTCTTTCTACTGGCACATGAGGAAATTGGGACTCAGAGAGACTAAATAATTTGTTCAAGGTTGGTTACACAGCACCAAGTGACAGAATGGAAATCCATGTCCAGATTTACTCAGCTAAAAGCCTTTGCTCATTGCTGAATATCAGTCCTTTCCTTTTTTTTTAAATTTTTATTTTATTCATATGTGCATACAATGTTTGGGTCATTTCTCCCCCCTTCCTCTACCCCCTCCCTAACCTCCCCACCCCCTTCCTCTCCCCCCCTACCCCCTCGCTACCTGGCAGAAACTATTTTGCCCTTATCTCTAAT